CCTCAGATGGCCAAAGCTTTTTTAGACATACATTCTTCTGAAGTCTGCTCCTTGACAAGAGAACACAAACTCCACCAGGGCTGTCACATAGACTCTGTCGCTATTTGAAGACCCAAGAGTGCTTGAAGAGGAGATGAAGGTCCCAGGTTTTGCAGTTGTCTCCTCATTACTGAGGCAGGGTTAGGAATGCATTAAACACTGAAGCTGGTGAGGTTTAGGATGCAAAAGCATCCTAAACACGTGCTTTTGTGATAAGGACAAGAACACTGTGGTCAAAAGAAAGCAAGCTTAACATAGGGGCTTTCTTCAACTGCAAAGCAAGAAGGTGGAGGCAGTGTTCTGTAATTCATATCACCTATGCTATTCATAGCCTTTTGGGTTTTTTAAGGTGTTGCCATAGTCTAAGACATTTCATACCACCCATTAAGTGCTCAAGGACTCAGGTTTTTTTAATCAGTTTGTCGTTTACTTGACAAAATCACAAATGCAGAACAAATGGTAGCAAATTGACAGCTAAAACAATGGTACAGTTACATCCTCTGGACGTCTTGTTATAGCTCTTCAGCAGCTCCTGCCCCTGAAGTGTCTATTTTTAGGTTATGTTGCTAAATTAACTTCCACACTCAACTTTTATCTAGTTCATCTTTTTATTCCTGCCTATACTTTACCAACTGATTCTTTTTCTTGATCCTTCACACCCTTAAGTACACTTGGATCAGTTCTTACAGGCCAGGGAAGCAGTTTTTATTATAGTCTCCATTTTACTTAGCCCACGTACACAGAAATTCTTTTGATGTTTCCTCACCCTTGTTTTGCTCGAATTCAATTTTTTTTTTAGATATAACTGCTTTGATTTCAAAGTAACAGAATGGAAAGTCAGGCCAGTTGTACATTCACCTGCACAGTTTTACTTACAATCAAATAACTGTGGCGTCATTTCCTTACTGCTGTTCAGCGCTTGCCTCTTCCTCCTCACCCAGAACAGAAGGCAGCCTTCAGTTCCTGACATGCGTTGGCCTCCTGGTCTTCACACATAAATAGGGCGCGCTAAGTATGTTCCACATTAGTCGGCCATGAATCCTTCAGGGCTCATTTATCACAGCCAGCTCTGCTCTTCATTTCGTGCTCTCCCTCGCCCATCTGAGCTGGAGCATGTTACTGCCAAAGCTTTGCACTACAGGAGGAGCCCCTGCTTTGGCAACTGTCTGTCCAGTGCTAGGCCAGGTTCAAAGGATGCCATTTGTTATTAACCTGTCTCCCTGCTACTCATCACATCAGCTTGCCTGGCAGCGTGGTCTCGTGCTCAGTTCAAGTGTCTTTTTGTACCTGCCATGTCATCTTATCTTGTTGGCTCCTCTCAACACCTACCCTCCTCCCCAGCTTATCTGGCCAACTCCGCTTTCCCAGCGATGGAAGCAATCAAACAACAGCACATTTGACATCATCAACAGCCTTTTCCTCCATGTAAATAAACCCTTTTCCACATACCATAATACAGAAAATATGAAGAAATCAATAGAATGGGAAAAAGAGACAAATGAGCATATGGTCTTACCAGCTTCCCCTTTCCATTTCATTCCTTTCTTTAGTTGGTTATCAAAAGTGGATAGCTGGACTCTGGTTGGTAGAAGTCGTTGCTGTTTCTTTCACTTTCTTGTGATAAAACAGTCTTTGCAAAAGAAAACAAAAAAAAAACCATGAAGGGCAAATACAACAGAGCTTCCTTTCGTAAGTTGTTTTACAAGATTGTGTCTGTACTTCAGCCTTAGGGCTTCGAGGGCAGCTCACAAACTAGTATCAGCAGATACATTGATAACTGTATGGTGCTTAGACAGGTAGCTGCACAAATATTTACTCAGGACTCGCTGGATTTTGGCAACCAGAGAGTGTTCTGTAGCCTTGTTGCTATCAGCATCTGAGCCAGCTGGTTTACAGCTACCTGGATTGTGTCCACACCAGCTTCATGACTCTGGACTCAAGTGTAGATATGGTCTGTATTAATTCACTTAGAGATAAGAATCTCCTACTTCTGGTCTTGCTCATGTGGGCACATTCTTGCCAGTTCAAACAGTTCTTACCTCATCTGACTTTGGTACTGATGAAAGATACGCTGATAGTAAATTCGCAGACACAAGTAGCCAGTCGTCGAAGGCTCCCTCAAGACTCAATAAAGAGTGGTTCAGAGGAGGAGCTGAATGGAGCAAGGGTTCAGAAACTGCTCACAGGAGCTCTCCTATCTGTGCTGCTGCACAGACCATCCTGCTGTCCATGTTGTTCTGGTCCCATGCTCACCCACCAGTTCCCTAGCTATGGCTCTGGCCCTCAGCTGCCTCCTTGGCTGACTGATTCACCTCATTATGCAGGGAGGCAATTACCCTGAGGAGGTGGGAGATAAAAGGGATTATTTTCCACTTCTTAGAGAGCTGAACTGGTTCACCACAGTGCCAGAGCCTGTGAAGGCAAAGGGAGGGACCACGCATCCAGCAGTTGGGGTGGAGGGGGAACTGCCCATTCCCAGGATCAATAAGCTATTCATCTGGTAAGCCATCTCACAACATTTCACCCTTAAGCCTTCAGATGCGTCCTGACCATGACCTTGCTGTTCTGCATCGGCTGCAGATCAGCCTCACTAGAGCTGGAGATATCTTTGTGCCCCTCTCACCGAGTTGCCTAGGCTTGAATATGGATTCTGTCACTTCCCAAAGGAGACAGGAGGGGAGGCCTTCTGCCCCCCCAGCAAGACATCTTCAGCATTCACGACCACTTTTGCTCATGGAAATACTCATTCAGTCCCTCTCTTGTGCTCCCAAATTTCTTTCCCTTTTCCCTTGTTCTTCTCACGTATCTTCAGCAGGAAACACTGGCAAACACATTTCTAAATGAAACACCTCTTCCACAGCTTCCCCTGGTGAGCATCTAGTTAGGAAATCTAGTAGATTGTCCTCTGTGCATAATGCAGTATCTGCTCAGACTGTGCTACAGCAGTATACAAAGACAGGGAGGAGTCATGTTGGCTCTAGCTGGCTCATCTCTTCGGCAGCAGCCCTGCTACCAATACCGCTAGGCACTAGTACTCTGATGGGAACTTCTCAGAAGAGCAGTCCCTTGAGCATTACCGTCGTGAAGCAAAAGCTGAGTGGGAAACCACCTGAGGGAAGTGGATCTTGTTTCTAGATCTCAGTCTGGGAAGCAAGCCTCGTGGGTCCTCCTCTGGTTTCCAAATAAGCCCTGAGAAAGCATCATCGCATCTCGCTGTTGAGGTTTGTGTACTATTAGTAAGGCAGACCATAGCGAAATCCAGGTGAAATACAAGCAGTGTTAATATTAGCTGTGCCAGACTTAAAAATAGGTTCTGGTGAAGGTTGGAAACACTTGACTTCCGTGGAAACCGAAACACGAGCGAAGGTAACATCTCCGAGCAAAGGGCAACATTTTTGGTCATATATTCAGGAAGAGAGCATCATGCAGTCGCCGTTCAAAAGCATGCTGCTCTTCTTGTTTCCTCCTGAATATTTTCTCACCGGTGGCCTTGACCAGTTCCTTTTGCATAGTGCGAGTCACACATCACAGATGCAGGGAAGGCAGTAAATTGCTTTCCTGAAAGGGGCCTCTGCGCTGACTTTGGATGGTGTGCAGTCCCGCTGTGTACTTTCTGAAACCAAGTTTGCTTGGCACTTCTTAGTGATTTTTGGAACCTGGTCGAAGCATGGAAAAACATTGAATAACAGATCTTAAATATAAGCTGGCCAAACCTTTGATAGAAGCTTTTTTGTCTTTGCGGGAGACCTCTGGAATTAGGACTTGGAGCACACTAGAAAATACATCACCAGAGAAAGGAGAACACATTACTAAATTAGTCTGACATGTGCTGATTTAAGGACAATACATTCTGAAGCTGGAAAGCCAGACCAGAAAGGTATAGGTTATTTTCATGCAAACCAACAGTCCTAGGCTTTTGTTCACATATGCTGCCACCTATATGTCAGATAGTCAGAACTTTGAAGAGCAAAACACACCATTTTACAAAACCAGATTATCATTTTTTTCTCTCCTCTTTTCCATTCCTAAATTTGACATATGCTGTCAGACAATATGATTACTAATTCCCAAGTATGTGGAAAATAATTTGTTCTAGAATTGTAAAAAAAAACCCAAAGCTAATTTACAAGTTAATTTTTAAAATACACTTTCCTCTACGCTTACAAGGTAGTAATAGCTCGTAAAACACTGGGAACATCTTAAGTTTATCAACCATTGCGAAGTAAAAAAATGTGAGGTTTCAGGCCACCCACACAGATGGTATTTTTCATGCTTCTGTATTTGCATACCAGAAAGACTTTCATTTTTCCCTCTCAAAGTACACATGTAAAATCAATCACAAAGCACAAATTCGTGTAAGACTTTAAACTGGCTTAGAAGTCCTTCTTGCCAAGGTTATCAAATCATGGGAAACTAGGGGAGCTATGATTTTTATTACAGTGTTTGGGGGTTTGTTTATTCTTTTTTTTGTTGTTGTTCCTCAAGGGAAGTTGATTTCCTAAAGGAATATGACCAGCTGCAAAAAAATACCAGGAAACCACTGACCAAGCAGTGCATATAAAAATTCAAGTGAACAATTTAAAAACAATACTGGCTAATTAGAAGTACCAATAGGAAGTCCAAACATTTGAAAATTCAATTAAAAAAATCTCTGGCACTCTTCTGACATGGATAAAGTTGGCATTTGCAGAACAGCAGCTTTCTCACCTGTCTCATTGAAATCCCAGGATCCCATGCTGGAAGGGTTGTTTTTCTGCATTGCAATGTTGTTAATTAATGCTGAAACACTAACAATAGACCATTGTGTGCATCCAGGCACTTTTTATGAGCACAGAGTTTTTTCCTGGCTTCCCGCAAATAAATTAAGGCTTAAGCTCGGATTCAGTGTCAACCTGGCATTCCAGTTTGTATTAAGTTTCTTTTAATTCCTACTGTTTGTTTTCTCCTCTTGTCGTTTTCAGAGTCTACCTCCTCACTTAAAGGCAACGAGTATTTCGCAGATGCATGCTGGGCAAATAAATCCTGTGCAAGGCGAGGTCCAGGAGAGACACAAGGAGGTATTCATCAAGGACAAGCTGAGAGAAACCGAGGGGCTCCACATCAAGGAAACCCTCCAGGATCAGATTGGCCAGTGTCTCATTGAGTGCCGGTGAGCAGAGATAAACACTTGACCCTGAATAAGTCCATTTGCCCCAAGAAGCCTGATTTTGCAGTTCTTCAAAATTGCAAAATCCATCTCACAGTGGTGATCTCAGTCCCAGCTGCAGAACTAGTTCTACACCAGCTGCAGAACGAAGTTCCTGAGCAGCAGGACTCCTAATTGGGGAAATCAGAACAGCACTTCACTCCTTGCACAGTCCAGCAGGGATCAGAGGTGCACCTTGAAAGACTGACTGCAGAATCAGGTCCGCAGACGTTAAAGCAGGGGGACATGTTCAGATTACGTGTTAGCTTGGGCTCCAGCTTTGTAATTATGAGCAGCATACTTCAAGTTTAGAAACACTGACGTTTCTTCCCCTGTCTGAATAAGCAAGATTTAAGAGAGAGAACACAGCCTTCCATGAGGCAGAAATACAATTATTTGCTATAGCAAATCATGTCACAGCACTAGTGCTGCAGTCCAGGTGCCTGCTGGGGGTATTTATCCAGCAGCTGATATGAGTCTGAAGTACGTTTGTACTTGAGGCCTGACCTTCAAGACACTCCCCCAAATGTAACTTTACTTAAGTAGTGCTGCTGATCTCAGTGAAACTTCACGTCTCAGTAGAGTTAAGCACATACTTACACGTTTTTAAGCCGAGTGCTGACACCTGTAGTTCTCTCAGGAAGTTTACTCTAGATGAAGTTTGGAGACTGGCAATTTTAATATGACAATACTGTAAAGCCTTGTAATGAGGAATATAGTCTGGGTTTATGATATAGGTGTTTTTTTCCAGGTTTTACCCCTTGCAGTGGGTTTGTATGTAAAAGTAAATTGGAAAGCGGCACCCAAAAGTTCCAGGATTTAGCAGCAAATTTTCAGCTGCTCTGCATAAAACTGCTGTGCAAAAACACTGCCAGTGTTTTTGTGTCTTGAACTGCTTGGTGATGTTACAGAACTTTGGTTTGTCTTGTGGACTAGTGTCATGTCCATTAATCATTCGTCGTTTTTTCAGTGTACTGGACCCGCCTTCAGCATGCGGTTTCCGGTTGGAAACACAAATGCATTCTGATGAAATCCTGCTCTATTTATTCCTCAGCTACTTCAGGCAGGTTTTGGTGGCTATATACAGTGTAGCGTTTGTTAAAAGCAAAATAAGGCAATCAAAAATAGCACTCTCACAGGTCTGCCACAATCCATTTCTCTTCTTTCTTGTACTTTTGCCTCTTATAGACACGCAAGACTCTAGTATATTTCTACCCCATCTAGCTCTCCTTTAGAAAGGACTGCTGGTTTTACAAACCTCAGTTATTACAAAGCACTTCCCCGTTCCCTAAATCAACCCCGTTCCTAGGGCCCAGTCTTCACACTTCTTGAGCTGCCATTTCCTGCTGCTCCCCACAACTCCCAGCGTGTTCTGAGGTACAGAAAGATCTTATTTCCTTTGCTTAATATTATTCATCTAATAGTAATTCTCTAACATAGGTCAATTCTGCCAAATTAACTTGACTCGAGAGCTTGAGGAGAACTAACTGAAATACCGTGTGAACCAATAACAATGTTTCTACAGGAGATTAGCAGAGAGCAGTCCATCTCCCAGAGAATAAGGCTAAGCCATAAATCTCTTTAAGGACAGTTACAAGAAATTATTAAAAGTAAAATCTGTTCCATAGACACACTTAACAGCAGAGCCAACCAAGAGCCTAGCCAACCCTAAAGACCGCTGGGAGGAAGCAGAAGCCATCATTTGATCAAGGAAGGTGGAGAAGCACGGCTGAACGAGGAGTTCATCAAAACCCTTGCTACCTAATGTATAAGCGACCTCAGTCTCCTGTATCTATGAAGTACTCACAAGATGTAAGGTGGAGTGCAAACGCTGACCTTTCTTATTCAGTAGCCCTTGCAAGTGAAATGGGACCTCATTCCTACATTTATACCCCAGATGTGCCCAGGGGCCCAACTTTAGGTGAGACTTCAAGGCTGTAGGCAGACATAGTCAGTATTCTAGCATATAAATATGTGATTAACCAAGTTATGAGGAGTTCTTTAGCTAACCTTTAAGTTGTCTGGTCTAGTCAGGTTCAGTAGTCTTGAATCTCATCTAGACTTCAAAATTAACAAAGATTAAAGCAGATGTTTAAATATAAGGACCACATTAACCGGCCTTGGCTAGCTTTATGGATATGCTTTTCCCGAGCAAGCGATTATATTAAATGGGGCTAAGATATACCCACGCACAGAGTTAATCAATGGCACTGCTACTTATAGTTAAGCCTTTAGTCAGACGTGTTGTTCTGCTGCAGCTGAGATAGACTGAGAAAACGGTGCACCTCCAGCTTCATAGCATAACCACAGAGCTGCTTCTCTACCCATCCATCTGAAATAATGTGAGATTAAAAAAGATTAACCAAAAAGCAGTTTTAAGCCAGATCGGATCATTTTGATAGAGCACAGTTGAATTAATGTTGCAAGTGCAGTTGTGTGTTTTGCCTGAGTACAGGGTCACCTCTGAGGGCAGAGGGGCAGTGACAGACTTGGCAGTGTGTTTGATCATACCCCCTATTACTCCCTTCTTTAAAATTAACTGTCCAGCATCATATCTAAAAATCAGTAAAGCACATTTCAGCCAAGAGTAGGCAGATCTCATTGATAAAAGCTATTCTGGTGATTTAGCAGTGTAGTAGATAAAATCCTACCCCCAGTGAAGCCAGTGGGAGAGGTGCCATGAGCTTTAGCAAAGGCTGGATATCACTCAATATTTTAGTTCATTCAAATCTGGCTGAGTGATGCAGTGATTTATGGGACTGAGAGGGGTCAGAGTGAGCTGCCTGCCATCCTGCTCTTCATGGGAAGCCTCTAAGCGACCAAAATAATTTTCCTCGCAGACATTCACTTGCATCCAAAATAGGAAAAAAAAAAAAAAAGCAGCAAATTTCTACACATGGAGAGCATGTGTGTCATGCAGAGCCAAGCTTTCCAAGTGGTGCATGCCAGAGACACTGCAGAACTAGCAGGAGTTGTGTCCTGCCTCTGTCTGGG